AGACAACCCTATAGTCTAGTGAGGTTCCTTTAGTGTTTGTATATATATATATATACGGACTACTAGTTACTATTGGATTGACTAGGATGTATACGTGTATCGGATCTCTGCTTGGACTGTAGTAGAGTAGAACTTGTTTGTGGGCCTGACCCACCATTATTTTTCAGGTGTTCGTCAGGAGTAGAGGTTGTTCGTGCTGAGTAGGGATTAGTCTACTTCATTCTTCCGATGCTACATAGGAGTTCCTTTATGATTCAGTTTCTTGATTTAGACAGTTATTGCTGTCATTTGTTTAGTTTGGATTTTCTAGGGGTCCACACAGTATGGATTCCCGAGTTGTACTTTGGAGGATCAATTGTATCAGAAGAGTTTATTAATTAATGAAAATATATTCTGAGGTTTATTATTAGATTATCATTTTAGTTTCTTTTCAGCAGTTTATTTATTCTTCTTTATTCTCTTGTACTCTGTGTTCGTTTATTATCAAATTGTTTTGATATCCCCGGGTATTCGGGCGTGGGCCTGGCCAACCTGCATTCAGAAATTCGGGGGTATCACAGTATTGTGAAGACCTTGTGGGCGGATGTGCCTTGAGCAGGTGCGAGAGACACTGTCAGGCTACCACACTGACGAGCTACGGGTGCACAGTCCCACATCGCCTCGGTAGAGGAAATGTGAAGTACTTATATGTAAGTGTGTCACCTCCAATTGGTATGAGGCCTTTTGGGGTGAAGCCCAAGAACAAAACCGTGAGGGCTTAGGCCCAAAGCGGACAATATCATACCATGTGGTGGAGTGGGTCGTTACAAATGGTATCAGAGCCTGACCCAGCCGGAAGTGTGCCGACGAGGACGTCGGGCCTCCAAGGGGGGTGGATTGTGAAGACCTTGTGGGCGGATGTGCCGTGGGCGGGTGCGAGAGACACTGTCAGGTTACTACACTGACGAGCTACGGGTGCACAGTCCCACATCGCCTGGGTAGAGGAAATGTGAAGTGCTTATATGTAAGCGTGTCACCTCCAATTGGTATGAGGCCTTTTGGGGTGAAGCCTAAGAGTAAAACCGTGAGGGCTTAGGCCCAAAGCGGACAATATCATACCATGTGGTGGAGTGGGTCGTTACACTAATAAAATCCCAAACTGAAACTGAAATAACTGAAATGAAACATAAAGCTAAACATAGAGAGCAGTCTTACGTAAACGAAGGAGTGAGTGTCTGTATCTGCTCTGCACGTCCAAGCTCTAACCCTGGAACTGATGAACATCTGAAAAATAAAGCGTGGGTCAAGCCCACATGCAAGTCCTATTCTACTACGATCCAAACAGTAATCCGATACGCAGATACATCCTAGATAGCTCAACAATATCTATCTAGTCCATACATATATATATCCACACTAAGGGACATTCACTGGACTACAGTAGGGGTCTCAACCTGAATAGAAGACAACATGCGAAAGCGCACCCAAAGGTGGGTATGAGACCTAGACCTAACAGGGTACACCTCAACCTACTTTAACCAGCTACGTATCCACTACATATACGCACCCTAACCAACGAGTCTAAGACTCAAGCTCATCTCGTGGTACCATAAACATATATATAAAGTTCGTCCAAAACCAGGGTATGTCATTCAAATACTTATTAAGATAACATACAATATACAAACTAGTTAGTCACTCAACTTATTCAGTTGATATGACTTAACTACCATCCATTAATCCAGGAAGCCATTCAACTTAGTTGCAGTTGATCTGACTTAGTCACAATTAGGATTCAATATTTTTCAATCCATTCCTTTAATCCGATGGGTTAGGTTTAAGCGTTTTGAGCTAAACCATCCTTAGTATGTCACCGCCCCATACCGATGCATACAATCCTCCATATCCTTGTAAATTACAACACATGCATAATAAGCTAATAATTTACAATCTAAACCATTATCCATATCATTGCAGAAAAGTATTTAGAATTTCAGCAATATAAATCCCAGCATTAATTCATGTAATTGCACTAGAGAATTTGATATTCCAACAATTAACATCCAGAGCATGCATAGTTCAAACTTTAAATATAAAATGATCTATCATGCATCCAATATAAGATTTATAATCTTATTTACAATTCATTATGTTGCCCAAAATTTAACTAAACAATTTGGTTCTTTCCATCCATTATCAGTATGCTAAGTTATATGCTTTTATACTGATTCATCCTTTAAATAATTTATAGAAATTATTTTCAAATCTATTTTGTCCAATTCCTTAGGCCTAAGAGATGTATTATACACTCTAGAACTTTCCCTAGTCCATTTAACCCATTAGATTTAATTAAAATAGGTTTTAAAACAAATCTGGGCATTAAAAACCAAAAATCCTAACTCAGCCGCCTAAGTTACAACTAAGCAGCCTAAGTTACCAACTGAGGGGGCTGAATTGCTAACTGAGGGGGCTGAATTGCTAACTGAGGGGGCTCAGTTGCGAACTAAGGGGGCTGAATTGCTAACTTAGGCGCCTCAGTTGCGAACTTAGGCGCCTCAGTTAGTGCTGGGGTCTTCTTCTTCGTCTGTTCAGCCTCTGTAAACCCTAAAACTTCATTGTTAAGGCCCCTAAGCTTCAACCTAAGTCTCATACGTCCATACTAAATTATTTTAAGTGTTTTAGTAGGCAAAGATTCAAGTTAAACTACAAATCATACACAAAGATCCAAGAAAATAATGAAATCACACACAAGTATATATAACCATAAAACTCTCAGTTTCAGTCCGTTAAGCATGCATGATTACTTCGTTTTATCATTAGTTAAACCCCTGGAATATAGCTAGGCATGCACAGAACACAAATTAAAGGGAAAGAATAGAACAAAGACTTGCCTTAAGTTTCAGATTTGAAACTCTAAACTGTCGTCTCCTGAATTTTTCGATGAAGTTTCCGACTGTTGTTCCACCTCCGTCACTCTTGGTTTAGTCTTAGTTGAAATCCACAACCCTAGCTTCCCTCCCTGATCCCTCTCAAGTTTCCACTCTCTGTTTTCTTAAAACCACAACTGTTGCTCTCTGTATTTTACTACGTATATGGGTTTTGTTTTAAAACCCTAGGTAGAACTCGTACATGTATAATTATAGGCTCAGTAATCCAACCCTAACCCTTGTATAATGTGAGCCCTAATGCAACACTTAATTGGCCCAAGAATAACCTAAATTATAACCTATGTCGGCTAATACGTGAAAATATAGAAAAACACAATTCTAATTTAAACCAAATTAATTAAATAAAATCAATTTTCAAATAAGGCAAATAAAACATCATAATACAATTTAATTTAAACAATTTACAATAAAACAAAATAAAACACTTTAATCAATTAATTAACACAAAATTAAATGTAAATAACCATAAAAAAAACACACAATTAAAATAACCAATAAAATAACACGCAATTAAATAATTAAATAAAATATTAAACAATTAAATAAATGCGAGGACTATCCTTATAAAATTAGGGGTATTACAACCAACATTAGAAGCCACCGCGCCACTAGTCTCGAGATAATAGGTCGCGAGAGCAGGTACCTCAAAGGGTCACATTTGGTGATGAGGTGGATGGTATGAGCCAAAAAGTAGTGGCGAAACTTTTTGGCCGCAAATGCTAGAGATAGACAATGACGCTCTATCGGAGAATAGCGTGCTTCAGCTTATGTAATACACAGGGCATTCTCGGCCATCCTTTTCCTGGGCAAGAAGCGCTCTTATGGAGCGTTCAGTCGATGTAATGTAAAGCCTGAGGGGGACCCCGATCTAGGGAGCTATCATGGTGGTGGTCGATGCTAACAACTTCTTGAGTTGGTCAAAAGCCCGTTGATGATCCTCATTCCACTTAAACTCGGAGCTTCTTTTCATCAAGGTGCCAAAAGTGTGCGTTATCTCGGCAAGCGCTGGTATGAAGCGTCGTAGGTATGAGACCCGCCCTACTAAACTCTTTAGCTGTTTGAGGGACCGTAGCGGGGGCATTTCCATGATTGCCCGAGCCTTACTTTCCTCAATACCCACACCTTGCCGATGAACCATAAATCCCAGGAATCGGCCTACTTCGACACCAAAGGCACATTTCAACAGATTCATTCTCAGCTTGTACTTTCGACACCTTTCGAAAACACTTCTCAAGTCAGCCAAATGATCAGCCCAAGCTCGCGATTTTACCACCTGATCATCCACATAATCTTCCAATTGCCTGTGCAATATATCATGGAAATCAGCTGTCATGGCTCGCTGATATGTGGCCCCGGCATTCTTTAGGCCAAAGGGTATGACCGTGAAGTAGAAATTCCCCATGAGGGTACGAAATGCCATTTTTTCCGCATCATACTGCGCTATCCTGATCTGATTGTACCCGTTATATCCATCCATGAAAGAGAACATTTCGTGCCCTGAGGTAGAGTCTACCAAACTATCAATCAAGGGCAGCGGGAAATCATCTTTAGGGCATGCCTTGTTTAAATCTCTGAAATCAACACAAATCCTGATCTTTCCATTCTTCTTCTTTATTGGGACCACATTCGCCAGCCACGTAGGATGCTGAATCTGTTTGATAAAGCCGGCTCGTAAAAGCCGCTGCATCTCCTCTGTTATTTGTAGCTTAAGCTCCGGCTGAAAACTCCTTTGCGCTTGCTTAACTGGGCATGCGTCCGATCGCACATTAAGATGATGAGCCACTACCCGAGGGTCTAATCCTAGCATCTCTTTGTACGTCTAGGCAAAGACATCTTCAAATTCCTTAAGTAGGGCTATCAATGCCAACTTTTCATTTTGCTCCAACTGCTTACTTACATAGATCACCCGGTGACAACCGTCAGTGGCTAGATTGACCTCTTCCAGCTCTCCCTGGGTAAGCCAGACAGATTCGGCTGACTCCATTTAACCTCGTCCTCATGGCTCGGAGACTCTACTTGACATGTCTCCACACGGAGGCGCAGCCTCGCCCGAGATCGTGCTCCCCAACACCGTTATAAGCGGTCGGCGATCCTCCCGTTGGCCAGACGTATTCTCTTGCAAACGGTCGGCCCCTTCTGACTGGTATTCGCTCCTGGCATCTTTTCACTTCCCTGTCGGTCGATGGCCTCCCACTTCGGTAGAGGGTAAGCCTTCAATGGTTGGGGTTCCTCCGCCTCCTCTAGTTCATTAAATAATGCAACCTCCACCATATGAGACTCCCTGTTGGTGAATGGTCGATCAGAACAGCGGATCGTTACTTGCTTCCCGTTCCAGAACCCCTTCATACACTGGTGGTACGAAGATGGAACAATTCCAAACTTATGCATCCAACCGCGACCCATAAGTAAGTGATAAGAAATGTCTGAATCAATGAAATGGAACTTAACTGGGCCTTTGAATTTTCCAATAACCAACTCGGTTGTCACATATCCCTTAGTTCTTCGAATATCACTCCCAAACCCGGTAATTTCAGTCGACTTCTGGATAAGCTTCTCGCTTGGCAGTCCAATGCGACGGAAGATTTCCAACGGCATGATATTGAGGGATGAACCATTGTCAAGAAACGCCTGCTTAAGTTTGACCTCATTGAGAGAGGCCGTAACATACAACAGCCTGTTGTGCGGTGTAGGAACACATTTGTCTTTTTCAGTAAAGACTATGGCCGACCCGGTCGATCTCTGAGGTACTGGGAGTGATATGATCGACGCAACTTCCTTTACACCCTCCTTCGCCGCCAACCACAGGAACTTAGCAATTTCTTTCTGAGCAAGAGGAGAGAAATCCATCTTTTGAACGATATTTTTGACTGGTGCGGTTTCCAACAAGCGGAATGCATCGAGATCGTCTTCCCTTACCAGCGCGACCTGGGTGACACTGTCCCTATGCTGATGGTAGTCATTGCTAGGCAAGGAAACATCCTCCTGAACTCGTTCTCCGTCATTCACTACGCCGGAGACCATCATTGCAGCTCCTTGATCATGTGCAGGAAATGGTTCCTCCCTTACATCCCTGGGAGGGAGGATGAGTTTGCCATTAGCAATCTGTCTATGGAAAGTATTTCGCAAAGCCCAACAATCGTAGGTAGGGTGGCGAGTATGCCACTGATACATGCAGTATTTGGGGTAAGCCATTTCTTCTGCAGTAGGCTCGCGAAGAACCTCAGGCAGTCTGATATCTCCATGTTGGATCCACTTCTTAAGAATGGTTTCCACCTCTTCCGGGGTGCATGGGAACGGAGGAGGTGCCTCGTCCGGATTCTTTGCTCGAGGGGCGCGGGCTGGCCTCGTATTCCTTTTGCTGTTCGGCTCATCTGCAGCCGAAACCTGAGGTCTACGTCTGCCTCGGTACTTTTCTTGCGTAGCGCCCTATGCACAGATAGCAAGGTTACTCACCAAATTCCGAGATGCCTCTATCAAATCGGCAAAATTGGGTAACTTTAAGTTAATGAGATGGATTCGGTAGGATCCTTGCATGCCCTGTATGCATATCTTGGCCAGTACTTCTTCTTCATGGGTTTCGTAACATTCCATGGCTCAATCACGAAATCTATGGACATGTGTAAGCAAGTCTTCACCAGGACCCTGAATCTCCTTAATCAAAGAAAGAGTAGTCACCCTTTCCTCTGCCTGAAAGAACTTCAATTGGAAAATCGTGGCTAATTGGTTCCAAGTAGTGAGCGACCTGGACTCTAAATTCGCATACCATTTGTAGGCCCTATCTGTGAGAGTTTTTGAGAACTCTCTAAGTCGCAGTGTGTGATCGTTTCTAAAGGGCCCCAAAGCTTTAATAAACCACACTACATGCTCCCGCGGGTTCCCTTTCCTCGCATCAAATTTGCTGAACTTAGGGGTCAGATAGCCCGGGGGATAAGGGAGGAGTGCGATGGATTGTGCGTAGGGTGGTTTGGGAGCTATTTCTTGCATCAACATATTTTTTTCATTTCGTAGCAGTGCTTGCAGATCCGCCATAGTTACATACGGCGACCGCTGCACGAGATCTTGCTGACATCCGAGCTCCTCTGATCCCCCATCCCCGCGTTGTGCCTCCCTTCAGCTGGTACTTGGCATACTCAACCTTGCGGGTGCCGTGAGGGGAGTGCTGAAAAGAGTTCGGCGGGCCCAAGGTAGCGCGTCTCGTGACCATCTACATCGGCCAGTGGCTCGTCTTACTTCAACTGATGATGAGAGCGAATGTCGTATCAAGTTTTCTAGGGTCACGTGTCCCCCAGCAAGCTTGTTGGAGGGGATGCTGCTTGGGCCTAAATCTCGTTGAGGTACCTCTTTATCGACAATCTCCCGCAGCAATGTCACCACTTCTCTTTGCGTGCCCTCTAACTGTTCCATCCTATGAGACAAAACATTGTGGACTTCAACCAGGGCATCAGGATAGATTATCCTGGTTCCAGGGAAATACGACCCAGGCATACTCACAGATCCGTTATAGCCCTCATTTAAAGCAGGGTTAGTTTGAGAAGGTGGACTGATCTCCCGTATGTTTGACATATACGAAGCGCTCCTCCCCAGCAGAATTGCCAAAATGTTGATGGTAGTTCATGAATAGGATGAGGAGATCGTTCCACGTAGGCCAAGAATGCTGAGATCAGTATCTAAGTGGAGATCCAAGCAACATAAGGGATTCTCTAAGTTTAGAGATTAAGAAAGGGAAGGCTGACTTTGGTATCGCGTGAGCTCGAGCTTGTCAGGGAATAACTGTTAATGTGGTAGTTGTGTGCTTTTAAGGCTGATTAACACCCCTATTTATAGTGTTTACCTCTTCGGTCAATGTCTTTTGGTCCTTTAGCTGAGCCCGTTCTTATCCAAAGGTTTGATGGTCTCTTCTTCTGACAGATGAGACATTGATGGATGGGTCGCAGCGCTTTGCCCCCCGGTTAAAGGAGGTAATGGCGCTCCTTAATTAATATGGGTCTTATCAAACGTCTTTCACAATTAATGTGTTTCTTATCCTTCATTGCTCGAGCTTAGGTACCAAGTATCCTTTCCCCCTTGTGTTGGCCTCGGGCTGAGGCGACCCCTTGGATCTCAGCCACCTATCCACATGTCCTCAGATTCCCGTGCTTCAGTGGGGATCGGTCCCTTTCAAGGTCCTGCCTTCATGACCTCATAAGGTCCTATCCCAATTTTATTCCGAGGTCCTCTTTGCTGAGGAGAGAAGTGTGTAAACAGGTTAGTCGAGGTCGTTCTTTGAGAGAGCGTCCTCGAACGAGCCAGGGGGGAAGAGCCCATCCGACTGGAGCGAGGCGCGTCCATAGTGGAGGAAGAGTAGCGACCCTTTCCTCGGCCAGTGAGTTCAGTTATCGGATAGGTAGCTCGAGAATACCTAATCCATTATGGGCACACCAGGTCAGCGCTGGCCAGTTGTGCCTATATTACAGAGGTGGCGCCACTTAATCAGCTATCGTGGCGCGGTCATCAACAAAAGCTAGCACAAGAGACTTAAAATACTGATGAACCAAAAAATGTTCTCATCCATGATGAATTCTGCACTACTAATCACTGTAGTTAGTGGTATGGATTAGAACAGCTGGTGCATTTTATTAAATCTTTTATTATAAAATTAGAAGCACCTGATAATTGGTAAGACGAAGGATATTAATTCTGGAGCTTGAGACGGTGAAAAGGTAACATATTAATTCTGGAGCTTGAGGTGGTGAGGTAGCATATAGTGCATGTGTGTATATATATATATATTGTATTAATTAGCTAGCTTAGTATTCAAGAAACTAATCATTAGCAATCTAAGAATAATAAGCTTGGTATTCAAGTTATCTATATCTATATATACATATATAGTATTAGCTTCAATTTCACTTTAAATAAAAGAAACTCATTAGCACATACATAAATAAAGATCTATCATTTATTTCTTTGGTGTTCAGGCAATATGCCATTGCCAGAGGGATATATGTTTAAACCAACAAACCAATAACTCATCCGTAATTACTTGGCAAAGAAGGTTAAAGGGGAAGAACTGCCATCCAATGCAGTGATTGGCATGAATGTCTACAACCACCAACCCTGGTTGCTTTACTGTATGTATATCGATCATAATCTCCTCTCTCTCATCTCTTTCTTAATTTGGATATATATGTGTGTGTGTGTATATATATGTATGGATGTTTAATTAAGTTTAATGACGCTGTCTTGCCCTCAAGTTAAATGACGCAGTAAAATAGTACTAAAATTGACGTCGTTTTCCCCTTAAGTTAAATGACGCCGTTTTCCCCTCTCCTCCCCCCTTCATGTTTTCTTGAAACCCTAAATAAATGCCGCAGCCGCCATATGCCCAGACCAACTCCTTTGACAGAGATGACGAGAAATACGGCTAGAGGAAAGGTTGAGGAGATCAGCGCGAAGCCTAGACCAACGTTGCCACGATTTGAGCAAGCTTCTGTCAGTGACGCGAAAAGTGGGTGATGGGTTTAACAGCATAGTCCAAAAATTCAGGAATGAGGCGGTCGAATGGTGGTTTGGTGAATTGGAGGCGTCGCGACCCTTAGAGAGAAGGGGATCGGCGGAGGAAGAGGGTTTTGACATTGGAGGAATCGGCGGTGACGCCTCCATTTTCTCTCTCCATCGATTTCTGCTGTAGGACTGCCTGTTGCAATGAAGGTGAGTTCCTATATAATCAATTGCTCATTTCACTCCAAATAGTGTAGATGAATAATGTAGATGAATGATACGGTTCTAAACCCTAAATTGATCATAATCTTTTGAATTGGGGATTAGCCACCAAAAATATTAAGTTTTTATTCATAATAACCCTAATTCCATTACACGAACATCATATATATATGAAAAATATAAATAGCAAACTTCTTAACATATTGGAAAAAAACAATATTCCTAAAATAGACTTAAGAGTAGTAGTTTCCTAACAATGAATACTCTGAGGGCAAGCTTGCAAAGACAAATTATAGGGCAATTGTTGATCCAGTGTACAAACCGGGGCCAATTGATGATTCCGGTGTAAAATCTGCATTTATCCTTTATGAATCTCTATAAAGGCTTGATGAAGTCTCATTCAAGGAAAGGTGAGAGTGAGATTCCGGTTTTGAAGAGCAGAGTAGGTAAATTTTAGGTTCAACTTTTGACATTGTTTTGCTATCCAAGGTGGGTAATTTACATTGGACAACAATCCAGAGAATGAGCTTGTGTCTTGGGATAGCAATTGAGTCCCATACAAGCTTGGCCCATGGGGCTATCGGTGATGACAGGGAGAGTGCAGAGAGGGTATGTTTGAATGTGTAGGCACCAGTAGGACCTGCATTCCAAAAAATTCTGTCAATGGAATCTGGCTGAGAAGGTTTGAGAGTATGCAGGACAGGGATAACAGTGGTAACTTGGTGTGGAAATGCCCAGGTGGTGAAGTTAACTAATGAGCTAATTTTTGTGTTGGTGGATGACCCTAATGATCGTGTGGTGCCCTCATTGAAGAGGTCAGTAAGTGGACCATTGTCTAGCCAATTATCTGTCCAGAATCCCATCAACTTTCACTACAATGAATCCTTTGAAACAGTCTGAGAATATATATATATATATATATATATATATATATGAAACGTATTCAACCAGCGTCCCAAGACGTGTGGTTCGAGCACACACAATTCACTGATTTCCTTAGTGCAGCACATGCAAGACACAAAAGAAAACTAAGAAATAATAAATATTACATTTTCGTTTATCCTTGCTATTTTTTTAATTAACGTCTCTCAAACCCTATTTGATACATGTAGACACATATTTATATATCTGTGTGTGTGACTGTTTATGTATACACTGTAATTAACACTGGCCTCTGTATATATATATATATATATATATATATATATATATTTATTATCTTTCGCTAGATTAATTATTGTGGTTTAATTTTCTAAATATATTCTTATATCTTGCACATGTTTGTGTAACAGATCATGATATGAACGAGTGTGATAAATATTACTTTGTAGAAAGAAAAAAGAAATCCGTAGCTGGGAATGGTATGACACCAAAACGGGAAGTTAAAGGGCAATTTTACCGAGGATGGTGGAGGGCCAGCAACAATAAATCCATTCGAGACAAGCTAGGCAATGATATTGGTTCAGTGATGTCGTTAACATATTTCAGTTACAAAAATAACAATCAAAGACTTGAAGAAAGCATCAAAACTGATTGGGTCATGCATGAATTTAAGCTCAAAGAGGATAAGGTATGTTTAATATAATTTTTCATATTTATGTATGATACATATTTCAATCCTGTAGTATGTTTCTTCTTCTCTGTAAATATGTCCAAACAATAATTTTTGATTTATTCATTATTAATTAATTAATTGTTGTGTGTGAGTACAGTTCCAAGAATTTTTTGTAGGATCTGGGATGGGAGTAAAAGGATAAACAAGAAATTAACTGTAGGAGGCAGTGAGAATTTGCAACTGCAAATTAGTCCCATGAATACAGATGATGATGATTAGTATCTTAGTATTTGTGAAAGTACTCATGATTAGGTACTAGCAGTTGTATATAGGTTTGAACCAACTGATGAAGAACTTCTTTCTGATTACTTGAGGAGGAAGCTTAAAGGCGAACAACAACTACCATCCAATGCAGTCATTGATATGGACATCTATACATGTGAACCGTGGTTTTTTTTTTTTTTTTTCTGAAAAATAAGATAATATTAAAAGGAGAGAAGTTACAAATATTCCAAGTTAGCCCAGGCTAACCAAAATAAACATAACCCAAAAGAACAACAGGCCCAAGAAGGAGCAACCCAACCAGGCAAAAGATGGAAAAGCTGTTGCTAGCACCACATTCATTCAGAGATGATAATGGAAGAAATTCCACAATGTTATCAATCCGGTGGCTCTGGAAGAAGCTGTAATATAGAAGACGGTAGCTCCCATTCCACAATTAGTCTCCTAGAATGAATTGAGTCATTGAAAAATGAGGAGAGAAGCTTCAAGCGTACTGGTTCTAGAGTGATATGAAGGAGGTAATTGGCTGATAATCTCTTCTTCTTGAATAACCTTCTGTTGCACTCATTCCATATATTTTAAACCAGCAATGAGAGGGCAAGTTTGGATACAGTGTTACAATCCTGGCTGTTTCCTCTCCAATGGTAAGCAGCCCATGAGACAAGCTCATTCCAGTTAGAAGGCAAGATGTAGAACCCACATCTTGCTTGTATAAAGGTCCACAAGGGTCTTACAAAGGTACACTTGAAAAAAAGGTGGTCATGTGATTCAAGATTATTATTGCAAATGAGGCAAGTGGTGGTGTTAATGTAGGCAGTGCATCTCCTGTTGAGGGTTGGGAGCTTGTGTTGTATTGCGACCCAAAGGGTGAAGGCATGCTTTGGTATTAATGTTTTAGACCAAACTAAGTTAGTCCAAGGAAGAGAGGGTAAGTTTTGGTTAAGGTGTTTCATTGTGGCTGCAATTGAAAATTTCCCATTTGGGGATGGTGTCCAAATGAATCTATCTTGTTTTTGTGGAATTGGGGTCGGAAGGCTGGAGATAGGCAAAAGTTATGGCAGTAATTCTGTGATTGTGGGTGGGAATGACCATCTTGACCAACAATGAATGAAGATAGTTTACTCTTAGTATCATAACCTGGGAGATTAAGCTGCTGTGAGGAGATAAGCAAATGCAGTGGACCAAGATAACACCATTTGTCAAACCAAAAATTGGACAAACTTCCATCTCCAATTTCAACCTTGACAAAGGGCTCAATTGATGACCTTAGTTGAAGTAGCTTCCTCCAATTCCAAGAACACTGTCCTGGGATCTTCACCTCCCAAATGCTTCTACCTTTGAGAAGGTAAATGTTGACCCAATAAACCCATAACATATCTTTGGAGTTGATGATATGCCATAGGTGCTTCATAATAGCAACCCTATTCCATTGAAAGAGGTTAGGAAGACCCAAGCCACCTGCCCTTTTTGAAAGGCAGCAGGTTTCCCAAGTGATTTTGGAGCTTGTTTTTTTTAGTGAAGGACCAGACCAAAGGAATGATCTCAGAATGGTATCAAGCTCATAAATGACACTCATGGGGAGGATGAACTTGGAGCTCCAAAACATCTGTGTGGAGAACAACACTGCCCTAATGAGTTGCAGCCTGCCTACAAAAGAGAGGAACCTACTAGTCCAGTGAGCAATCCTTGATGAGATTTTATCAATAAGTGTAATACCCCTAGTTTTCAAAAGGATAAAATGGGGATTTAATTTTGATTTTTATTGCATTTATTTATTTATTTTAATTATGTGACTTATGTGTTTTGTTTTCTTAATTGTTATATAATGAATTGGTTTGTTTAATTGATTAAGTGTGAATTATTTGTTTTAGATTAATTGGTTTATTTTAATTGTTTATTGGTTTTAAATTAATTGTTTAATTGAATTGGTGTTTTAAATTAATTAATTATTATTTTAATTTAATTGGTTTTAACTGGCGTGTCTTGTTTATGGCTTATATGGTTTATATTTTAGGGTTATTTTAATTTAAGTTAGGGTTTCATTTATTCATGGTGTAGCCGACTTGTAAATTTAATTGAATTAAACATAGGTTAAATAATAGCCTATATTTATAAAACTGTATGGTCTGCTAGGGTTGGAGAAACAAAAACAAAACCCTATTCACGGAATAGTATTTTGAGAGGAAAACAGAGAGGGTTCTTGAAAGAATCTGTGAGGCTAATGGAGGAAGGATAGAGGACGAGCAAAGGAGTTGCTCGTGGGTAAGTCAAGAAGCAACAGAGGAATAGAAGGTTTATCAAAGGAGGAAAACAATCTGGGGAATTCTGAAACGTAGAGACGGCGTAAAGGTTTTAATTCAAAATCTCATAAGCAAGTTTTATTCTATCTCCTTCCTGTAAACTTGTGTTCTGTGCATTCTAAATAGTCTCCAGGGGATTAATTAAAGTTTTAAAACTAATAATTGATGCATGTTTGCCGGACTGTAATTGAGGAACCTTTGAAATAACTGAAGCTTGTTTCTTTGCATAAACGGTGAGGATTATGTGTTAAACTCTTGTAAATTAATTCATAATGGAATGTGAGGAGTTGTTAGGATGGTTAAGAAGTTAAGTAAACTTTAAAACAGATGTGTATGCATGACAAACTAAATTGTAATCTGTGTATAACTGTTTCACGTTCTGTAACTGAAGTTGTTTCGTATGTATAAACTGTTGTGAGCTGGAGTTAAACCTCTGTAAATTAATTTGGAATGGAATGTAAAGAGTTTCTAGGATGGTTAGGAAGTTAATTAAACTTTTAAAATGGATTGTATGCAGGTTAGAGTATTTCTGTAATTAGTTCTGCATTTTTGAAATTGGAACGGTGGGTGTTTCTGCATAAACTGCCCTATAATTGTTTGGATTTTTATAGAACAATTGGCAGTAGAATCAAGGGAGTTTATAGGAGTATTAGGGCTTAAATTGAACCTTTAAAAATCCTTAAGAAACTTAGGACATACAGTTGGAACTTCTGCCAGAAGCAAAGATGAAGCAATGAAGCAGAGAGGGGCTCTCAGGGGTGAGAGCCGGCTCCTAAATGGTGGGAGCCGGCTCCCATGAAGAGAGAGCCGGCTCTCCATGAGGGAGAGCCGGCTCTAGAAGCCTAGGAGTCGGCTCCAATAAAGGGGAGCCGGCTCCCATGGGAAAAAACCCCTACGGGTGTTTTCTGCAATTTTTCTGAAGATCAGGGGCTTAAAAGTAATTACTGAAAAGTGATGGGGGGTTTTAAATGATTAAAATTAACTTGTTAAAGCCTTCAAATAGTTGGTTTATGCTAAGGTGCTAAACCTAAATGCATGTCATAAAACATAAGCTTATAATAGGCCTACTGTCAAGGAAGGAGGAATGCTTGTTTTGCTAAGTTATTTTGACAACTTAATTTGGACTGACATTGTAATTATTGTTAGAATTTATATCAATGATATATTTAGCATAGTTCAGTTCCAGGAATGTTGCTTATGACGTCATGTACTCGTATCTAATAAGTTGTATATTGTCGGGAGTAGTGGAAGGTTAGTTGCTAGTTTTGTGTTAGCAAATTAAATGAAACTGGTATAAAATACTTTTGAAGTTTCATATGATGTACTTAAACTTTGGAGTGTCATTATATCCGACACAGAATTTATGATGGGGAATTACATAGATGCCATGAGATTTAATTATAAATTTGCATGCTATAAAGGATTTGGGAGGATGTAAATGCTAGTCATCATTTTAACATTTAAAACGAACTAGTATGGATGTGTTGATTCGGAATTCTAGTATAATGTGCAGTTTAAAATTCTGATATTCATTATATTATGTTATGGAGGATAATTGCTGAACTGGCTTAATTTTGGTTCTGTCAATTACATAGAAATGGATGGTTTAAATTGTTTATTCTTATTTTAACAATTTAAAAGGGGGATCTATGATTATAAACATATACTGGATGCATGATAGGATCTTATCAATATCTGATTTCTATTGTGTTGGTTTCCGGATGGATTTGATGTTCAAACATGTGTGCATCATTGATGGATCATTTGCATTATATGTACCGGTATGGGACGGTGACATATTAGGGATGAATTAGATCAAAAAAAAGCTAAGTCCTACCCCTTTCATACATATGGAATTTATTAACTCAAACAGTTAACTCCTACATGGATGCATGTCCTGTCAACTAAAACAGTTGAACGACATAATGGATGGTTGCTTTACTTTTCTGTATTAGGAAGAGATTTAAATATATACTTAAGTGCCGTGATACGAGCTTGAGTCTCCTGATCATGGTTAGGGTGCGTATATCGCCTAGGATTGATAACCAGGCCTGATGATGTTTCCTTAGTTGCTCTACTCGGGTTGAGACGGATTATGTGGGCTGGTGAACGTCCTATAGTGTGTACTTATATCTATATGGACTATCTTAGCTATTGTTGAGCTATCTAGGATGTATCTGCGTATCGGGTTTATGTATGGATTGTAGTGGCATGGAACTTGTATGTGGGCCTGACCCACCCTTATTTTTCAGGTGATCGTCTATAACAGGTTTAGAGCTTGTTCGTGGTGATGCAGATACAGTCATTCACTCTTCCGACTAAATAGGATTTTTCTTTCTGGTTTTAGTTTTGGATTTTATTCTGTAAAGTTTTATCAGTTGAGATTATTAGGGGTCCACTAGTTGGATTCCCGAGTTGTACGGATTGGAAAGT